TACAATCTCTCTCTGCCCCCCCCCCCTCTCACTCTCTACCATCTCTCTTCTCTTTCATTACTACCATTCTCCTCGTTTCTCTCTCTCTCTTACATCTCTCTCTCTCTCTCTCTCTACATCTCTCTCTCTCTCTCTACATTCTCTCTCTCTCTACATCCTCTCTCTCTCTCTCTCTCTCTCTCTTTCTTAACATCTCTCTCTTCTTCTCTCTCTCCTCCTCGTCTCTCTCTCTCTCTCCCTTTCTACCATCTCTCTCTCTCTTTCTACATTTCTTTCTCTCTCTCTCGCTCCTCGCTCTCGCTCTCTACATCTCTCTCTCTCTCTCTCTACATCTCTCTCTCTCTCTCTCATCTACATCTCTCTCTCTCTCTTCTCTCTACATCTCTCTCACTCTCTCTTCTACTCTCACTCTCTTCCTCTACACTCTCTCCTCGTCTCTCTACATCTCCCACTCTCTCTCTACATCTCTCTCTCCTCTCCCTACATCTTTTTCTCTCTTTTTTCTACATCTCACACGGCTCTCTCTCTGCACATCCTCTCTACATCTCTCACTCTCTCTCTCTCTCTACATCTCCCACTCTCTCTCTACATATCGCTCTCTCTCTCTCTCTCCCTCTCTCTACATCTCTCTCTCTCTCTCTCTAACTCATCTCTTCTCTCTCATCTTCTCTCTACATCTCTCTCTCTCTTGTACATCTCTCTCTCTTAATCTACATATCCCTCCCTCTCTCTCTATACATCTCTCTCTCTCTACATATCTCTCTACCATATCTCTCTCTCAACAACTCTCTCTCTCTCTCTCTCTCTATCTCTCTAATCTCTCTACATCTCTCTAATCTCTCTCTCTCTCTTCTCTCTACATCTCTCTCTCTCTTCTCTCTCTACTCTCTCTTCTCTCTCTCTCTCTCTCTCTCTCTCTCTCTCTCTCTCTCTCTCTCTCTCTCTCTCTCTCTCTCTCTCTCATATATATATATTATATATATAATATATATATATATATATATATATATATATATATTCAATTCTATTCTTTCAGCCATTTTAAATCCATAGTTTGCCAACGGATTTGCAAAGTCTGAAGTCTGGGGGGGGGGGCAGTTTATTCTTAGCCCCCAGCCATACCTGTGAGATAGTACCAGAGCGTATCGTTGTCAGGGTCGTGAGCGCTGATGAACGCCACCAGGTGCCCCGGCGGGTCGGTTTCCATAACGTGGACGGGAATGGGCGTCGAAACTACTGGAGGATTGTCCGAGGACGCCGGCACTGGCACGACTCTCACCAGCACCCTGGTGGTAGCGCTCAACTGCGGTCGACCGTTATCCTTGGCCTGGACCTAAGCGTCCAAGTAAGTACAATTAAAAGGTTAAAGGACTGGTGTCTTTTCCTGGAAAAAATATATTTCTGTCTGAATAGCATTTTGTTAACATCCGAAGAAAGTATTTACTTTTTCGTTTGTGTGCTTGAAATAAAATATATGTTTTACTTATTCTTTAGTATCATGTAACACATTCAATCTACAAGCGAATCTAATCCGATAAGGGGTTTCCGCATCTGACAAATTTGCTTTTCGGGAGAGAGGCCTTGATGACGTCATTCTGGACACCATCTTTCTGGGATCATCTGCAGCTCCTCTCTTAAGTAAGTCTCTCTAACATTCCTTCCCTCTTACTCACTCACTTATTCAGCCGGTCTTCCTTTTGTCTTTTCACATTTTCATCCATTTTCTCCTCTCTCTCTCTCTTCTCTCTCCTCTCTCTCTCTTCTCTCTCTCTCTCCTCTCTCTCTCATATTCTCTTCCACTTCTCCAATTCTTTCATTTATCCATTCTCTGAATTCCCCCTTTCTATCTATTAGGCGTAACTGCACTGGCTACCATTTTCACTCTTGAATAAAATTATTTTTTTTAAACTAACATTATTCTATGCTAAACTTACTCTGTTCTATCGACGGTTCGTCTGCTGCATTTGTATCGTTGTCTGGAGAGAGAGAGAGAGAGAGAGAGAGAGAGAAAGAGAGAGAAAGAGAAAGAAAGAGAGAGAGAGAGAGAAGAGAGACTTAGAGAGAAGAGAGAGAGCGAAGAGAGAGAGAGAGAGAGAGAAGAGAGAGAGAGAGAGAGAGAGAGAGAGAGAGAGAGAGAGAGAGAGAGAAGAGAGGAGAGAAAGAAAGAAAGAAAGAAAGAAAGAAAGAAAGAGAGAGAGAGAGAGAGAGAGAGAGAGAGAGAAGAGAGAGAGAGAGAGAGAAAGAGAGAGAGAGAGAGAGAGAGAGAGAGAGAGAGAGAGAGAGAGAGAGAGAGAGAGAGAGAGAGAGAGAGAACTACAAACTAAAAATCAGGCAGATCTGACACATGTCCGCCGATTTTCTATCACACAGCAGCGCAGGCCAACAGCCTATTCTGACGTCATCAATGCTTCCCGGTACTTCCTGAGATATTGGAATTTGTTTCTGTGACCGATGCATTTCATGACCTACCAATCAGATCAAATTCATCTCTTGATCAAAATTATTAAATGATACCAAAGAATAAGATCTGGGAAACTAACAATGGGACTGGCAATCGCCAGGTATACCATACCATAATGTCGAAAGTCTGTCCTGGAGCAAACGCCTTGCTGGTGAACACTTGGCCGGTCTTCGGGTGAATCTTGAAGCGTCCTTTCCCTTTGCCTGTCTTTATGCTGTAGTCCAAATCAGCATTCATGCCTACATCAATGTCCTTGGCGAATACCTTGTCAAGTAAGAGATCAAAAATATATTCCATGTCATAACTCCTCAGAAGAGATCAAGCGGCGGATTACATTATGATAGAAGGAAATTATGGTACTCTGGTTAGTAAACACTTGACTACGCAAATTTCAAAGCGAGATCTTCCGCTGTTTCGCTCATGTTGCCAAATATCAGACCACGTTCGGTATTCCTTTTGACTCTTACTCTGATAATGATTTGTTATACTTGGGGGAAAATCTGCCGATTATTTGGAGAATTAAGTTTATGCTTAATAGGATAATAACTTTTAACATCATGCAGTCTCTGACATTTCATGTCCCAATTATTACAAATGCAGAGTGGGCATTTAAATCAAATCATGCTGGTTATATGAATCGATTCACTCGGCATGCACTGTTTTACAGGTGATTCTTAAACACACTCATTTGTCGGGAAAATGCTCCATGCAAATTAAATATCTAGTATGTTTGGAATATTTCATAAACCTTTTTCATGAGTGAACTGGTAATGGATATTTGTGTTCTGGCTTAACATCCATCTGGCCAGGGTGTTTATTTTACTTTTTTTACGATTTGTAAGTATAAAGGCATCGGGCTTCGTTGCTCCATATTTCAGGTCTAAGTGATCAAAATCATGATCAATTGCGCCAATTCAAATAAGCGCAATTCTTACATTTCACTTAATCTTTTTGCTAAAACAAGTTATTATTAT